GGACCTAGTATGGATCCCTGGGGCACGCCTTTTGTCATTTCCATGTCGCAGTCGGCCACCAAAATGACGTGAATTCATTTATTGTTACTTTCCAGGATGCTGTGTTGAAAGCATTTTTAACATCTTATGTTATAAGCAGCATCACGTCCCTGTTTGTCAAGGTAATTTCCTTCAGATTTTTAATCATTTTTGTAACCTTACTAAGTGGATCTACTGTACTCATTCCTTTTCTAAAATCAAACTGTCTCTTTACCAAAAAAATACCAAACGAGCTAATAAAAGACGCAGGCACGGCTATCATAGAGGAATACACAAAACTGTTTAACATTATATTACAACATAAGAAAATACCAGAAGAATGAAAACAAAGTATAACAATACCCATTTTTAAAAAGGGAGATAAAACAGACCCAGCAAACTATAGAGGAATAACATTACTGAGCACTTCGCTAAAACTTCTAAGATCATTGCGGACAAAATCTCCTCAATAGTGCCAATAAGCGAGGAACAACAAGGATTCCGAAGAAACCGATCAACTACCGATGCATTATTCATACTCAGGCAACTAGTTGAAAAATCCTTAGAATATAAATCTCCAGCCTATCTATGTTTTATAGATTTAACAAAGGCCTTTGATAGAGTCCAACTAAAAGACATCATCACCATCTTGGAAAGCAGTAATGTCTCGAAAGAACTCACAGAACTTATCAAGGACTTAAACACAAACACAACAACCCAAATAAGAACAAACTTTACCTTAACGCAGCATCTTCGAACTACAACTGGTATTCGCGAAGGCGACAGTCTCAGCCCTCTGTTATTCAACACAATCATGGATCAAGTAATAAAAACCGTCAAGAATACTGGATTAGGATATCGAATGGGAAGGCATAAAGTAAACATATTATGCTATGCCGATGACGCAGTACTTATTGCAGAGTCAGAGGACGACCTCCAAAGAATGCTACAAGCTTTTAGAAAACAGCTTTTAGACAGGCAGAAAAATTAACATGCAAATTTCCACAAATAAAACCAAATGCATGACCATTACAAAGGAGCCTCTACGGTGCAAATTGGTAATAAAAAACCAAAACTATTGATCAGATAATGTCATTCGAATACCTCGGATGCAAAATTACAAGCTCAGGATTCCTGGAAGAAGAAGTAAGGAAACAAGCCAATAAAGCTGCCGCAATATCAGGACATCTTAAATATCCCATATGGAAAAACAAACATTTGAGTACAGAATGTAAGTCAAGAATATACAAAACCTGCATACGACCAGTGATGACATATGGTGCGGAAACCAGAGCTGAAACATCAGTAACAAAGAGAGTCCTACGAACTACTGAAATGAAGACCTTAAGAATGATAACTGGATACACATTGAGGGACAGACAGAGAAATGTAGACATAAGAGAAAAGTGCCAAACAAACGACGTTGTCAGATGGATAAGGCAGAGAAGAAGAGAATGGAACCAGCATGTCAATAGAATGGGCCCCGACAGAATGGCCATAATAATCCAACCAAACCAAATCAAACCTACTGGACGACCACCAAAACGTTGGCAAGACAGTTGGCAGTCAACCTCGCAAGAGTTGCTTAGACGAGGAGAAAACCGGAACTAAACAGGCGATACGCCTTCTAAAAGAAGAAGAAGAAGAAGAAGACGAAGAAACTGTCTCTTATTCAAACCTACTTTTTGTTCTATTTCTTCTTCCAAATTCGTCTTTAGGGTCATTTCCAGAAGTTTACTCATAGAATCCAATAATCATATAGGTCGGTATGAAGGTTTATCAGCTTCCTTTTTTGGCTTTTTCACAAGTATTAATTGTGCATACATTTCCATATTTGTGGGAAGTTAGTAGCCTTGATGAGGTAATTAAAGAGGTTGGATATAGGTCCTGTTCTCAGAAGAATCCCTGACTAGTCAGCGCGTTTCTTATTGGTTGAAATGTGTAGAAACCAGACTAACAATCAGGTTTCTACGCATTTTAACCAATGAGAAACGTGCTAACTAGTCAGGGATTCTTCTGAGAAAAGACCTATAATGTTGGGTTGTTCCTCGGCCAAAATTTAGACAACCTCGACCGGTATGCCATCCGGTCCCGGTGCCTTGCCTCGTTTAAGATTTCGTGCTGAGTTTTGTATGTCTTTATCAGTAATTAGGGGGAAGTGCTCTTCTTGCAGCTGCGTCTTTTTATAAATAGCACGTCTGATCTTTATTTTCTTGGTTACGATCTTGTATGCCTGTCCCCAGATGTCCTCTTCCAAACTGTCTAACATGTCTCGCCATGTCCCTCACATATTTAGATACTCTCTTTGTAATTGGTCCCATTGTCGGTGGGACAATAGTCTATTTCCAGTTTTCTGTTATTTACTAGAACGTCTTTTCTAACCACAAGTTAAATCAAATCAAGTTAATTCAAATCATTTTTTGTTGGTTCTCTGTATCGCAGAAATCAAAAATACAGGTACGTTGCATGTTAATGTTTATATTATAATGCGAACTTTTTAAAACGGAAGCTATAGATCGACTGCAGCACAAAATAAAGTAAATATTGTTCTCATCTGGACGGCATTATTTAATTAGGATACGTGACTTTGGGCATATATGAATTTTCAAATTATTTGGGTCATTCGATTCTATATTAAACCTTAATTTCTTTAATGATTCCTTATTAAACAATATAGAAAAAAATATTTTAATGATTGTACATATTTTTGTCGTAAGTTATTTTGAATGTTGAACTCTTTTTTTAACAACCTTGTGATAGGAATGATCGACTAATCAAATAATCTTGAATAATTAATAACAATGGGTTTGACAGTTGTCGTCATTTGTTCTCTATATTCTTGTTTACATTTCGATTCAATTTATAGAGGGTGAGTCTTAAATAAGTGCAAATGTTTTTAGTAGTAGTGGGAACTATCGAATTAATACTATCGAAACATTCGATAGTTGCAATTCATTCGAATAATTCGATAGCTAGTAAGAAAACATTCGTCGAAAACTATTCGAATAAAAATTATCGAATAGATGCGTCATCTGCCTTGAAATATTGTATTCTAGTAATTCGGCGGCAAAAACCATTCCTTTATAAAATTCATTCATTTATCAAATTCATTTATTCGTCAGGATCGATTTTAATTAGTAATGGAAACTATCGAATGAATACTATCGAAACATTCGATAGTTGCAATTCATTCGAATAATTCGATAGCTAGTAAGAAAACATTCGTCGAAAACTATTCGAATAAAAATATCGAATAGATGCGTCATCTGCCTTGAAATATATTAATTCGGCAGCAAAAACCATTCATTTATAAAATTCATTCATTAAAAAATTCTTGTGTATTTGGTTACTAAATAGAACCAAAAGTACAGCGATTATGTACAGGGTGGGTCAAATTCGACGCTTTTAAATGGAAACACCCTTTTCTATAGGAGATAGACAAAAACTAATATCGGTGTCTGAGCTCAATTTTTGTCAAAAACATGATGGTGAAAACCGCATATCGATATATGTTACCGTTTCGGAGTTACGGGGTGTTTTTTTTTTAAAATATGCATTTTTAACAAATTGCTGTAACTTTTTTGCTATGGAAAATTTTGTATTTTTATGAAAACATTTCCAAAAGCACCTTTTACGTAGAATTTAATGGTTTAAGTATATATTTTTTAAATTAATAATTTAAGAATTATCAACAGAAAATTTGATTTTATATGGGACACCCTGTATATTTTAATTTCTATTGAAAAGAATTTAAAATTACCTTTCCAAAAATATAACACACTTGATATTTTCTCGATTCCTCTTCGAGATATTAGAGTATATAAAAAATTGTCTGCTTTAAATAAGTAGGCTTTGAACGGCACCGGCTGTAATGCAAAAATTCTGGCTGTGAGCATCAATTAAAACGAAATGATATTTGCTATGAGAGATGCAGAATTTTATAACAATTTAAAATATATTTAACCAACATCAACAAATTTAAACTATATCTAATAACAATAAAATAAAACAGCAAACCAAGACATGAGATTTTGCTACAGGTTTTCGACATATCGACCGTTTTCTGTTATGGACAGACGGGGCAGTTTTTTTGAACATTTCTCGCGGAATTCATTAACTCAGTGGGGTGAAAGATACCCTCTCATAACTGCTAAGTATTTCTAATTCTTGTCTAGATTATACGGAAGAATAAGGAACCTTTATTCTTCCGCAAATATATCCATAGGATTAAATCCATAAGTTACTAAGTCAGGCGGCCTCGACGGCCAACGGCTGGGATCTTGGTTAGCTATTCAATTGTTTCTTGAAATTGACTGCAAAAATTTGCTGATAACTTCAGCGTTCAGAGGCGGTGCGTCGTCTTGCTGGAAAAAATATGTTTTCTGAGTTCCATTAAGTGCATATCATCAATAAGGGGTCCAAAGCCTACTAGTTAAAAGTGGCGAACTTTTAAAAATTCTGTATTTCGAAGGGGATTATAATAAAATATCAAGTGTGCTATATTTTTGGAAAGGTAATTTTAAATTCTTTTCTTAACTAAAAATACAGAGGGTGTCCCAAATAAAAAATCAATTTTTCTGTTGATAACTCTTAAATTATTAATTTAAAAAAAATTATACTTAAACCATTAAATAATCTACGTAAAAAGGTGCTTTGGAAATGTTTTCATAGAAATACAAAATTTTCCATAGCAAAAAAGTTACAGCGATTTATTAAAAATGCACATTTTTGAAAAACAGCCCGTAACTCCGAAACGGTAACAGATATTGATGTGCGGTTTTCACCATCATATTTTTGATGAAAATTGAGCTCCAGACACCGATATTAGTTTTCGTCTATTTCCTATACAAAAGGGTGTTTCCATTTAAAAGCGTCGAATTTGACCCACCCTGTACAACGGTACTATTCTACTAAATATCGTAGATATTTAAAAATAGTATTATTAAATATTTTTACTTTGTGTATAATAAAACAATACTTACAAATTAACTATAAAAGGATATCTGATTTCCATAAGAATATTCTTCTCGTTTTTCACATGCTCCACTTGTTTTAATCTTATCACATCAGCCAAACAAAGGATTTTCATTGCTCCATATTCATCAGTGGCCTTATTTTTGCATAGGAGTACTCTACCAAACGTACCGGTACCTGAAAAACAAATACAACAGATAAAAATTCAGCCAAACCAATCAGCTATAGGAAAATCAATCAAAAATAAATTTCTTTCGAAGCAGTGTGTTTACTTATCTACGAAATAATATATATGATTTTTAAAAGACTCTGGTACATCCCAAGTAGCATTTTCACAACTTGCGACCACATGTTTACTAAACACAACGTTGGATTAGTTACAAAAAATAGTTAGCTCCGTATCTTGGCTATTAAAATAAATGTAAACGTTGTTGTAACGTTGTGTCGACGTTAAACTAGTACTACAACAAAGTAAACGCTTCTGCGACGTCGAATAAACGTTGTCTTGTAACCTTTTTTGCTTAAGTGATCTTTAGGTGATTCGGACAACGTAGTCACAATGTTGGGCAATAAAGAGTTTTCCGACGTCACTTTCAGCACCTATTCCAACGTTATGCAAACGTCGTCTGTTTTACTAATTCCAACGTTGTTTAGATTTCCTTATTCTTACGTTGGTAGGACGTCGAGCCACTACCTTTTTGCAACTGTATTGAACCATAACTAAACTTTTCTCTTCATTGTTCTGTTCAGTCAGACAGTTCAGTGCTGTTTTTGTTTTTATAAAAAACACTTAATTAAAATGGGACGTAAGAAAGCTACATATAAAACTAAATTTAAATATACATCGACATATTACCGATACTTTATCCACTCCCTCGTTTATTTAGAATATAGAGGGCGGCACACAAGCTAGACTCTAGGATGACTAAATTAGGCAGTCTTGCGACTAGTATACTACCTGTTAAGGCTGAACTGCGACTTTATTAGTCCAGTATGCGACTACTCGAACTACTCCATCTTAATCTCCAAAACAACAAAGTGAAAGTCGCCATGTTGTTGAATAAGAAAATGTTTCGTTCCTAAAATAGCAATTCCTGCTTTTTGAATACATTAACTTGAAATATTTGGCCCTAAACACCACGCGGAAACAATTTTTTCGACTGCGAATAAATTATTCTCATTTTACTAAAAAAAATTCAAGAAATTTTTTAAAACTTCTTTAATTTTAAGGCCCATTAGTATTTTTCAAAGTAGAAACAATATATTTATCAATAAAGTTGTTTTCGTTTAACTTTTTTGCCTTGGGTAACGAGTTACAGAGTCGGTTAGTGTTTCAATAATTATGATCTTCAAACATCCTCCACACTTAAATACTTTTGTTTTGTTTTCCTTTTCTGCCATCCGGCATATGTCTCTAACTAAATCATAAAAATAATATTTTTACTATAATTATCCCAATTTAGGATAAAACGCGACTTAGACGCCATATTATTATAGTTTTGTATTTCTGTGAATTAGGATTTTAAACAACGTTGCAGTTTGTACTAAATTAGGCTGCTAGCCAACGTAGGTATCCAACGTCGTTTCGACCCAAAAATTATTCTCCAAACTAGTGCAGACTAGGGTTGGCACGAGGTTATGCCGACGTTGCTCCCCGACGTTTGGTCGCGTGACACAACGTTGTCCCGACGTCCAAGTGCTGCTTGGGATAGCTCTGGTTTGTTTACTCTTTGTAACTTTGCATAGAGAACATAACTGAGAATATTTTTTACAGATATCTGTAGGAGAAAATCGTAATAGATTTGTCATACTGTAACATAACTTGTGATTGTTATGTTTGTTTGATCAGGACCGCATTATTTCAAATTTTCGCATAATTTAGTATTTTTTAAACCATTCAAAATAATCAATTTGCTTCATATTAAGGAGTTCTTTAAGAAGTTTCAAATAAATTTTTCTGTAAAATAAAATGGGGAGAACTTATTCATCATTAAAATTTACATGGCATTTCCTGTGTCCAGATCGGCGATGCAACACACTGTATACGAATAATAATCGATTATTCTTCAATAATTTATTAACGCATAATTTATATTCACTTAGCATTAGATATATCTGGGCCTATTTTTTTCGCAAGGTTTTTGGTTAATCGTAAAATAAGATTTTTAACGCCTCTTGGCAGCAAAGTGATCATTAAATCTTGTGTGAAGAGTGTAAAACGTAAACTCATTTTAATATACAGCCTAATAAATGAGCCTTTTAATGGCTCAGCATGTTTTAAATAATTTTTTTGGAAAATCTGATGACTTAAAAAATTTACAACTTTGATCTAAGAAGTATTTTTTTAAATACCTCATAAAACAAAAAATGTTAAATAATATATTGATTATAAAGAATATAAAACACACTAGAAACCAATGAACATTCGTGGTAGCTAGAGGGCGCTGTTTGACATCATAACAGATATTGCGCTTTTGCATCAAAAAAATTGAATAGGAGGCTATATTTCTGTTTACACAGTTAAATAGAGCACACCATTTCCAAAATATCAGCGCAAACCGCAATTTACTATCTTGTTTCTAACCGGAGATATTAAGAGAACAAATTATGTTAAGCTGCCGCTCAGGATTATATAGTCTAAAAATTATAGTAGTAGGCTAGGTAAATTAGGTTCAGTTTTCATGCATCCGAATTTCGGGCGTTTTCTTAAAAAAGATGACGTCGTAAATTAAAATAAAATAATTCGTAAATTTTTCCGAATTTATTGGTTAATTATACGTAGGTAGGTTCAGATTAAAATGTCCGAAAGTCGGACAATCAATAATTTTTTATTAAAATTTCTAGGAATTTTGTGCCGCCATATTGCTTTTAACAGAAAACGGCCAAATTTGGTATAGCCGAAAACTAGGGGTTTATTTCATGTAACGTCATTTAGCTATTAATCCAAGTTCGTCCTTGATTTCACTTGTTTTCGTGTTTTATGCACTACTGGTCCAAATCTACCCTGGATGCAAGTAGTTCAGTACCAAGACCGTTGGCAGGAATTCTAGGATGGCGAATGATTATCTGAATGAAATGAACTATCCATAATTTCTAAGAGATGAATTGCCAATTTTGTTAGGAGATCCATCATGATGAAAATGCATTTGTTGCAATTTCATCAGCATGAATGCAGTTGGTGTAGATAATGCAGCTTGGTTCAGTTGTGTCGCATATTTTGCTATGAATGTATGGGGCTTCTTGGATACCACTTACTTTAGTAGATCGAGACGCTGGAGCGGCATATATCCATGGCTAGTTAGGTCATCGGATTCAATATGCCTGGGTTTTTATTTATGGGTTCGAATCAAGAACGAGCATGGATAAATAACAATTAAATGGTATTAAAATGAAATGAAAATATATGTTTTGATATTTTGACGTAACCAATTTTCCTCTATTTATTTCCTAGCCTACTACTATCATTTTTAAACTATATAATCTTAAGCGGCAGCCTAACATAATTTGTTCTCTTAATATCTCCGGTTAGAGACAAGATAGAAAATTGCGATTTGAGCTGATCTTTTGGAAATTTTGTGCTCTATTTAACTGTGTAAAGAGAAATATAGCGTCCTATTTAATTTTTTTGTGCAAACGCGCAATATCTGTTACGATGTCAAACAGCGCCCTCTAGCTACCACGAAAAAAAAATGATGGAAACAAAATTTATACTGGAGATCATTAAGGAAGAAAAGCTCTTTTAAATGAGCCCTAGTTTGTTTAAATCGGTTAACCTAAATCAGAGTTATCCTTATTTTAATAAAAGCAAGTTTAACCTTCCCCCACCACTTTATTTTATGAGATAGAGCAAAAAACTCTATATCAAAAAATTACAAATTTCTCGATGATTATAATAGTAATGTTTAAAATCCTGTTCACCTGCATATTTTTGAGAAAAACCCTGTTTTCTGATTGGCTATCAGCGAAACGCCCCCTAGCGGACATTTTTCGAACTTGAAAGTAATTTCCAGCGATTTTTCTTAGTCGATTTACTTATTAGAATTTTTTGCCCAAAGCTATACGATAAGTAGTTTCTGAGATACAGCCGGCGTCCATTCTTAGTTGGCCCCCGGTACTAATTTACCACAAATAAATGGACCATTGGACCCTTAATGCGTATATCGTACACCAAAGCTATACAAATGGATTTATTTAAACATAATAGCCAAAGCTATTGGTAGTAAAAACCAACCAATCCCACCAAATGACCGCCTAACCAATGCATTAACACCCCCGAAATAACCAGGCTAACCAATGCATTAACACCCTCCAAATAACCAAACTAACCAATGCATTAACACCCTTCAAATAACCACCTAACCAATGCATTAACACCCCCCAAATAACCATGCTAACCAATGCATTAACACCCTCCAAATAACCAGACTAACCAATGCATTAATAACCTCCAAATAGCCAGGCTAACCTGATTAGTTAATGCTCTTGGTAAATCCTAGGTTTTACCGCATTTCGGACATTTACAGTGACATATATATTTTTCACTAATTCATGTAAATTCTTAAAAGTATAGAGAGATACAAAAATATTTTATTTTCTATGATATTATGTACTTTAGTAGTCACCTAACCTAACATAACCACTCTGTAGCGATTAAAGGAGAATTATTCAGTGTAGCAGTTAAGGGAAAAATCACTAAATTTTCCAATTAATTTATTGGATACCATCCCATAAACGTCTCGGTATATATAATATCTAAATTTATGCTCTTTATTCAAAAATATGTTATTTAAATTGCAACAAAGTTGTTGTGAATTCAATTTCTACAAACTAGTATGCACTATTTAGTAGCTTGTCCGCCCCCCATAGTATAACGTTCCTATTACAATTTTGTGTAATTTTGTTGATTATAGTGTTTATTGGCTCGATGTCACGAGTTCAAGCAACGCAATATGACGTTTTGGCTACAAAAATAAAGACTAACGGAATAAACAAATTAAACTTTCGATTGTTATGCCTTTTATTGCCAAAGAATACAGGAACGCGTATGAAAGAATTCTATTTTTAACAGAATCCCACTCTATCTAAAAAAAGAGTTTTTAGGTAGGTAGTATAAAGGGTGAGTATTATGTAAATGCACATACTTTCAGGGCTGTTAGGTCTTCAAAATAAATTTTCTG